TAAATCGTGCATCAATCTAGAGCAAGAATATAGATGTAAAGCATCATTTATTCTCAATCATGTTGAAAATGGTGATTTCTTTCTTGAATTTATTGATTCAAACCTTTACCTTAAGAAATATTTTGCTTTCTTACCACTTTCAATTAATGAGTTCCTTCCTCTTTTGGATTGTTATTACTTGTTATCTCTTGCTCTTTCTTCTTTATTAAGCCAATGGGGGAGAAGGGGGAGAATGGTCTCAAGTCTATTTGGGATGAAGCGATCAAGTGGGCGGGAGATATATAGCTCAAAGACAAGGGGATTCACAATGAATCAACATATCTGGGAAGTCTGACTACTTTTTTAAGCTTATGCGCGAATTGTGAATTAGTTGTCAATATCAAAAAGGGTAAGATGGTAAGATCCAAATCTGGTTATTCTAATAATGATACATCTAACCGACTTATGACTTGTGTTACAAGAAAAGAAATTCAAGAGAGAAAAGTAAAGCAGAAATCATCTAAGGAAGGAAAGAGAAAATCTGCTCAATCAGTCAAAAAGTACAGAATATATTCATGATTAAAAAACAAATCATCTCAGGGAGGAAAGAGAAAATGTTCTCATTCAATCAAGGAATATAGAATATATACAGGATTGCAAAGTAAAGAATATACAACACCAAAATAAGGAAACAGATAATGTGTATCAATAAAGGTATACATTCAAGATAGCAAGATCACTTAACATCCAAGACTATAAGGAAGAAATTGAAATCAAGGGATGCATTCAAGTTAAACAAGATCAGCCAAAGATTCAAGACCACATGAAGATCATCATAAAAGGAATGAATCGATTTGCACTTGCACATTTCTTATATGTACATGACTCATCAAATCAATAAGAATAATATTAAGGACTCCATCAAAGATCCTTGATTAAAACTCCCTTGGGTTTCCGTAAAAGAGAAAAGTCCTCCAAAACTAGATAAACCTCTCTTAGCCTTAGTTGTGAAGTACGCACTTCACTTGAACTTATATTTTAATCTTCTTTTATCATTCATAAAACTTTGTACATACTTGAGTGAGTAATTGAATAGAAAAGATAAAGAAAGATTTGAGTGTAGGTTATATAAGTGGAGGTTGCGTCTAAGAAGAAGATGTGATTTGCATATCAGACAGGGCTCTCAATTACAACATTCTGTAATACCCATACCCAAGTTCTCCACAAGCTCTAAAGGAAACCCTTGTAACCCAAAGGGACTAGAAGTAGACACCACATCGGTGTTCCAAACAAGTAAAAAATATTATTGTCAATTTACTTTTTGTAGTCACTCTTATTTTATACAGCAATACTAACCTGGAGACGAGTCGATTAAAGAATTTTAATTCACCCCCCCCCCACCACACACACTCGTAACTTTAAATTTAGAGAAACAAGTTTATTCCTTTCACAGCAATGTCCAACTTGAAGTGAACATTCTAAAAAAAACATGGAATGAAGCTCTTAATTTTGTTCACAAGGCTTGTTGGTACTTTTCATCAAATGCACTTCATACATCTAAAAGTAAATGTAAATACACCTAGATTACCAATACTTTTGTTGACAAGATTTCTTGACTTTAACCTTGAGCACAAAGTTCTTATTGAGGAAAGGAGTATTGTTATGAATAAGCCCCAGTCCAATAACAATACTAACAAATATATCACACGGAGAGATATTAGGAAAAGTAGGCCCAATACAAGCATCAAGGTTAGTCCTTCACAAAGGATACTTTGGAATTTACAGTGAGGGTATCGTTAGATAGAGCACAACATCTCTATTAGCAGCCATCGTGAATTATGTGCAAAGAAACCATTTGCATTTATCATCCCCACTTTTAAGTCTAAGATTCTCATCTCCCTTATACCATTTATCAATCCCTAGCTCTTACATCTAATATCTTTCAATTAATAACACATGAACTCTGTATAAGAAACAGGTTCTTTGATGTGTCCTGTAGTTTGTTGGTAGCACTTGCATAGTAATTTTTCAATAACTCTTTTTTGCTCCGTCAGTGCACACATATTCTGGATGACTTCACCTCTATTTAAGCACAATTGTTCATAGAGTTATTGTTCATTTCAAACTTCTCCTTGACTTGAACTCCTCTTGACTTAGAGTTATAATTAAAGTAAGAATCCTTCTCCAATTCAAACTCCTTACTTCTTTAGACTACTTCTTCAAATAACATTGACTGGTTCTTTTGTATTGTTGTCAAACTCCAACACTTTAATTAAGCCATAACGTGAAGATTTCTACTTTAAGTAAGACTCCTTCTTCAATTAAAACTCCATGCATTATTAGACTCCTTCTTCAAATCGAACTCATTGATTCTTTCTCTTCAATTCATTAGATGTTTATTTCCTTGGGTTTTCTCACGAAATTAACATCATCTATTTCTTTTATTTTTGCACTTTTATCTTCTTTTTTTTGAAATCTTTCCTGAATTCAACTACTCGTGATAGTATACATTTGGACGACGTGGACTGGCATATTTTTTCTTTCTTTGTTAATCATTAAAACTGCGTAAATCCCAACAATATCATTGTAGCCTTTATTATTATTTTTGTTCCAAGTATATTGCGGTTCATGGGACATGCATTTACAGAAAATACATGTTCTTTTCTTATCACAACAATGTCCACCGTGAATTGAACTATGATGCCACACTACATAAATCTTAGAATGGAGCTCTTGACTTTTCTCACAAGGGACTTGTTAGTGATTGTCATCAAATGCACTTCATCAATCTAAAAGTCAATGTAACTATACCTAGATTACTAATGCTTTTGTTGGCAAGATTTCTTGATTTGAAGCTTGAGGACAAGGCTCATAATGAGGGCAGAAGTATTGTTATAAAGCAATCCTATCCCAATAACCATACTAACAAATATATAAAATGAATAGATATTGGGACAAGTAGGACCAATACAAGAAACAAGGTTAGGCCTTTCACAAAGGATAATTTCGGATTTACTCTACATTCAATCAGTATTCCTATATTTCTATTTAGGCTTTTTCTTATTGAGTTGTTGCATTTAGTTTTTGGATCTTGTTATTTGAAGTTCTGATGATTTGACAAAACTTAGGCACCTCATAAAGGTACCTGGTTCTTAGCTCAAACTGCTTTTTGACTGCCTGCTGGAGAAAGCACAAATAGTTTATGCAAGGTTCAAACAGAGTTAGAAGCATCATAAATCTTAACTAATGGCATGGGCTTAAGGATAGTGACCTTTATATACAAGGAAGACATCTTCATACACTTCACTTAGTTTTCGCAACTCGAAAAAGCATATTTGAGAACTCTTGCAAAGGCTTAGAAAAACAAGAAGAAGAAATATTCTAAACAACTCAATCTCAAGCGAACATAGTGTGTAGTTGTTTAGAAATACTTTCTTCCGATCTTACATTGTGAACTGATCCTAAAACTATAAAGGAACCATTGTGGTTTAATCTGGAAATTCTAAGTTAGTTAGCTAAACTAATTTAGTGGGAAACTTGTGAGTTGCTTAGAAAATTCTAAATCATTAGTAGGTTGATGGTTTAGTGGGCAGCCTGTAAGATTTCTTAGAAAATCCTAAGTTGTCTAGTGTGATAGCTTAGTGGGTAAAGTAATATCTACTTAGGCTCATCAAGCAATAGAGTTATTGCTTGATAGTGGAATTAAAAAAAATTCTCACATTTTGTGTAACCGGTTTCCTTTTGCTTGTGAAGATTAGTGAAATATTTTAAAAATCCTGCGAGACAGGTGGTGGTTTCACTACCTTGAGCAAGGAGGTTTCACGTAAAACTCCTTGTGTCATTAAACTGCATTTACTTACAGCTATTACATTTTGTGTGTTAAGGGACCTGGTCCATTGACTTGTTGTGGACAGACAAATTGTAACAAGTCATATCAGAGCAGGTACTCTCTATATGGTTAATATCAAGGGAGTGATTCCTTTTCTAGAATGGCTGCTCCACTCAATGGCCACTTCTATAGCTGGTGGAAAGTTAGAAATGCATGATTTCCTTATGGCAGAAGATAGTGAACTGTGGGACATTTTCTTAGATGGACCATTTATTCCAATGTGTGAAGAAAAAGATGGTGAAATCACTAGACTTGTTCCAAATCCCAAAAATAAATACAATGAAGCTGACAGAAAGAAAATTGAAAAAGTCTATAAAGCAAAGAAGTTGCTTGTCTTTGGTATAGGTCCTGATGAGTTTAATTGTGTCTCAGCTTGTGAATTAGAAAAGGAGATTTGGGATTGCTTGGAAATAGCTCATGAAGGAACTGAACAAGTAAAAGAGTCAAAGATTGATATGCTTACCTCTCAGTATGAAAATTTCAAAATGAGAGAAGGAGAAACAATTCATGAGATGTTCACCAAACTGTCATCAATCACAAATGAGTTAAGAAGTCTTAGAGAATCCAACAGTATGATCAAGCATGTCAGGATAGTTCTTCAAATCCTTTCCAAGTCCTGGGAAAGCAACATAGATGCCATCACTAAAGCAAAGGATCTCAAGGTGCTTACAATGGATGCTTTTATCAGAAATCTCAATACTCATGAGATGAACCGAAGTTATGATCAGCCAAAGTAGGAAGCCGAGAAGGATAAGTCTTTAATGCTGAAATACAATCCTGAAGAAGACTGCAATGAACATGATGATATGGCTTTCCTCATCAAATGATTTCAGAATATTGTGAGGAAAAACAAGGGATTCAAAAAGGGAGCAAATGTTCCACAAACTGCAACTCCAAATGATACGTGTCACAAGTGTGGAAAGGCTAGACATTTTATAAGAGAGTGTCCATTGCTCAAAGCTGAAAATAAAGAATATCAAAGACAAAGAGGGAAACAAAAGCGCAGGGACCTGGTATTTGATAAAAATGATCGAAAAGCTGCAGCTAATTATGTGGTCAAGAAAGCTCTTGCTGCATGGGAGATTCTTCCAGTGATTCAGAAGACTCTGATGAAACCAATGATGCATCAATGATGGTGGTTCAAGATGTAGATAATATATTCAATGAAATGTTTTCTTTCATGGCTAAGTCAGATGATGAAGATGATGAGAATAAGGTAACTATTCTTGATTTTAAGCAAAATCTTAATACTTATTCTCTTAAAAGACTGAGAAAATTAGCAAATGTTTTGATTGATGGTGTGATTGAGTTAACTTCTGAAAGAGATTCCATGAATGCTGAGTTTGAAAGTTTAAATGAAAACAGAGATAAAATGGGTGAGAAAATGTCACTAATTAAATACAAAATGACTGTTCAAAAATCTGAAAAACTAGAACTCAAAAAACAATTGCATCATATGACTGAGAAGTCTGAAAAACAGAAAGGAAAGTCTACTAGTTTACAAGTTGAATTGGAAGAAAAATTGAAAACTACTGAGACTAACCTTGTTTTGGGTTTGGAAAAGAGTAATAGCCTAGAGAAAGATATTGCCAAACTCAAGGATGAACACGAAAATTCCCTTAAATGGATAAAATCCTCTAAGCTACTTTCAAATGAGACAAATCAAAGTAACTACAACAAAAAGGGTTTATGAAGCTTGAATATTACTCCTCCTTTCAATCCTCACAGCAAATATGTATTTGTGTCTGATAATTTGCTCTGTCTTCACTGTGGTAGAAATGGGACTTTAAAAAGGGAATGTAAAGCCTAGACAGAGTCACATGAAAGACTCTCAAATTATACAGAAAAGAAAAGGATTTAGAAAAGGGGACCTGGTCCTGCTCAAAAGCTTTTGATCAAAAAGAATCTAATATTACCTGAATGGGCAAGAACCACCTTGATTACTCCTTTATCTCCCTACTGGTAACTCAAAATGAAATGGGTTCCCAAGTCCAATAAGTTTGCAAGTGAGTGAGAGGAGTAGCAGTCAATGTTGGTACATGGATAGTGGATGCTCCAAACATATGACTATAGATACAAAAACTTCCTCTCGCTCAAGGCACTTCAAGGTGGAGGTGTCTCTTTTGGTGATGCAAAGAAGTGGTATATTTTAGGTGTTGGTAAAGTGGGAAAAAGTCTTGAAGAATCCATTGATAATGTGCACCACGTCAGTGGGTTGAAGTATAGTCTTTTGAGTGTATCTCAAATTTGTGACAAGGAAAATGAAGTAATTTTACATCTGAGAAGTGAACTGTAGTTAATATGACTACAAAGAAAGTGATTCTCACAACTCAAAGATGTAAAAACACGTAGATGGCAAACTTAGAAACATGTGATGGAGATGATCTAACATCTTTAAGAGCTCAGAATGAAAATAATGATGTGTGGCATCGGAGACTAGGTCATGTGAGATCATCTTTATTGAATAAGTTGGTTTCTAAAGACTTGGTACTAGGTCTACCAAAGCTGAAATTTTGTGAAAGTAAAATCTATGATATGAAGCATGTGTAAAAGGAAAACAAATCAGAACTTCCTTCAAGTTAAAGAAGCAAGTGACCTCATCAAGAGTATTGGAGCTGCTGCACATGGATTTATGTGGACTCTTAAAAGTTCAAAGTAGAAGTGGAAAGAAATACATTCTCGTTATAGTTGATAATTACTCAAGATTCACATAGACAAGGTTTTTAAGATCAAAGGCAGAAACACCAGATGAATTGATAGTGTTTTCCAAAAGATTCAAACAAAATTGGATCAAGTGATAGTTGGGATTAGGTTTGATCATGGAACTAAGTTTGAAAATTCAAAAGTTGATCAATTTTGTTTGAAAAATGTCATAAGCCACAACTTCTCAGCTCCAAGAACTCCTCCGCAAAATGGTGTAGTGGAAAGGAAAAACAGAACCTTGTTAAACATTGCAAGAACCATGATTATTGAGTCTAATCTTCCATAATTTTTTTAGGCTGAGGCAGTTAACACAGCATTCCATGTCACAAACAGATGTTTGATAAGGTTATTGTTGAATAAGACTCCCTATGAACTACTCAACAACAGGAAAACTATGTTGATCTATCTTAAGTCATTTGGATGTAAGTGTTTTGTCTTCAACAATGGTAAAGATGATCTTGAAAAGTTTGATCATAGAAGTGATGAAGGAGTTTTTATAGGATAGTCTTCATCTAGTAAGGCATAAAAAGTATTCAACAAGAGAACTCAATGTATTGAAGAAAGTGCCCATGTAGTCTTTGATGAAGATGGAAATCTGAAAAGGAAAGAATCAAAAGTTGAATATGAGTTAAATGAGTTGTTTCAAGCTCAACAAAGTGAAAGAAGTAAAGTTGATACAGGTGATCTATTGAAGATTGACAATGCTGATCAAAGTTCATTTGAAAAGACCAATGAAGCTGATAAGCCTAAAGAGGAACCTGATCCCATTCAGAAATCAATCAAGATATCACGCACTCTCCATAAAATGAGGATTCTGTCATTGAAGAGGACACTAATAAGTTACATCCGTTGACATCAAGACCAGGACGGAAACATAGTTCATCTTATCCACTTGATAATCTCATTTCACCTCTGAACTCTCGAATCCATACTAGATCAAAAAAATATATCTAGTTACATTTTAAGATTTTATCTCATCATTTGAGCCTAAGAATGTAAAATAGGCTTTGTGTGATGAAGACTGGGTTAACTCAATGCAAGAAGAACTACATCAGTTTGAGAGAAGCAAGGTATGGTACCTGGTCCCACGACTTGCTGACAAAACAGTTATAGGAACCAAGTAGGTGTTCATAAAATAAGCTTGATGGAAATGGTGTGATTACAAGGAACAAATCCATATTAGTTGTTCAAGGATATAATCAAGAAGAGGGCATAGACTATGATGAAACCTTTGCACCAACTGCGAGAATTAAGGTTATAAGAATTCTTATAGCCTTTGCTGCTTTCATGGGTTTCAAGCTATATCAAATGGATGTCAAAATTGCGTTCCTAAATGGAGACTTAAAGGAAGAGGTATTTGTTAAACAACCTCCTGCTTTGAAGATGCTGAGCTACCAAATCATGTGTTCAAATTGAATAAAGCCTTGTATAGATTAAAACAAGATCCTAGAGCTTGGTTTGAAAGATTGTCAAAATTCCTGTTGAAAATTGGCTTCAAAAGGGGGAAAATTGACAATACCTTGTTCTTAATGAAAAGAGAATAGTAATTATTTATCATACAGGTATATGTGGATGACATTATCTTTGAAGCTACATCGGAGCACTTGTGTGAAGAATTTTCATCGTTAATAGGAAAGGAGTTTGCGATTATCATGATGGGTGAACTAAAATTCTTTTTGGGGCTACAAATTTAGAAATCATCAGAGGGAATCTCAATCAGTCAGGAGAAGTATAAGAAGGAGGCTGAAGAAATTCAACATGTTTGATTCCAAACCTATAGATACTCATGTGGGAACAAATTCCAAGCTTGTAGCAGATGAAGCTGATCCTTTTGTGAATCAAACCATGTATAGGGGAATCATTGGATCCTTGTTGTATATGACTGCTAGCAGACCTGACATTGTATACAGTGTTGGAATGTGTGCTAGATTCCAAGCATGTCCTCGAAATTCACATTTAAAAGCTGCCAAATTGATTTTGAGATACTTGAAGAAAACAGGGGACCTGATCCTTTTCTATCCAGCTAGTGACTCTTTTGACCTTGTAGGCTTTGCAGATGTTGATTTTGCAGGATACCAAGTAGACAGGAAGAGCAATTTTGGATGCCGCATTTCCTTGGATCCTTCCTTATTTCGTAAGGAACGAAGAAATAGAATTCAGTGTCTCTTTCAACAGATGAAGTTGAATATGTAACAGCAGCTGCATGTTATTCACAGCTGTTGTGGATTAAGAAACATTAGAGAAATTCGGAGTAAGCATCAAGTCAATACCTCTTATGTGTGATAATACAAGTGTTGTTAGTATGGGAAGAATCTTGTTCACCATAAGAGAACCAAGCATATTGATGTGAGACATCATTTCATGAGAGATAATGTTGAAAAATAAAATACTGTGTTAACCTACTGCTCAATAGAGGAACAAATTGCAGAAATCTTCACCAAGGCTCTCAGCAAAGGTCAGTTTGAGTGTAACAGGTTGAAGTTGGGCATGCTGAATTCAAATTAATCTCAAAGTCATTCAAGCATAAAATTTCCTTGGTGGATAAAATTTGTGGCGCAGGTATCCTCTTTAGTAATAATAATTTGTCTCAGTAAGATGAATGGTGTACCTATTGCAAGTATACATTCATAAAAGATTGGCAAAAGCAAAAACATGGACAGAATCATTTAGGAATGGTGCTTAAGTTGCATTAAGGGACCTGGTCCCTACAGAGGTTATATTTCTTTACATTAATTTTAAACTGGCTTAAAGAGATTGTTGATATAGCCATGTGTCAGTCATCGGTTATTCTGAACATTAGTCCCAGCGCTTAAACTCCAAGAGACGCGTCAAATCATAGGGAACTGGCACCGTTTCACTTCTTTTTATACATCTCTTCTCTTTCCTAAACCTCTTCATACTTTTTTTTAATTTCTCTTCTAAAATCCTAAAATACTGTCTTTGTCTCTTCTCTCTGTTGTTGCTTTTTTACTCTTCTTCTCTCCATGACTGATAACATGTCAGAACCATCATCCTCATCAAAGAAGATTCTCCCATCTCTGAGTGAGATTGACCCAGTATCTTTTTACACTCCATCATCTTCAGGGTCAAAATCCAAAGTTCCAACAACCTCTGAAATCATTTCTTCTTTCGATGATCCTCAAAACCCCGTTCATTCTATCGTTCTAAACAATCCCAGTCTTCCTCTTACACCTGGTCCCTATCTAAAAATGCTTTCACATACCCTTTTTGAGGGCGACTTACCAGAGAGCAAGACATTTGAGTCAAATATCTTGGGTGCGAGTGAAGGACAGGTTATTGAGAGTCTCACTCTGATGAGAGAAGATCTAGACTAGAGGAATCTGAAAACTCCCTAAATAAAGACATCAGAGAAACCCAACCTATTTTTAACAAAACTCCAGATTTTGGGAGATATTCTTCCACCGACTCATATGACACAAAGGGTGATAATCGTCCTATTAAGTGGTTTTTGCAGAAGAGAGATGAGAATGTCTCTAAAAAGAGAAAGGAAAAGGTAGTTTGAGGTGATTCTATACGAAGACCTCTTACTAGATCCGACTCAAAGAAAATACTGGTTGATGCTATGAAAGTAGGTGAAAAATCCACAGCCACAAAATGAAGTGTAAGAACCTTTATAGTGTCAAAATTCCAAATTCCTTCGTCTGCTGTGGTGGAAGTCTCTGGAGGAGAGTCTGATGGGGGATATGGTAACAAAAATTCAGGAAAAATGAAACAAAGTGTACAAAAGATGTATGAGAACATGAAACCCACAAAGGTGGAAGTGAAAGGGAAAAGGAAGAGAAAGACATCTGCAACAAAAACTAAGAAGTTTGAACAGGGACCTGGTCCTCAGGTGCATGTGGATGAAGGCTTGGTCAACAAGCAAGAAATTGTTGATAATTTGAGTAAGCAAACTGTCTTGGCTGGAAGAGTGTTTGACATGAACATTATAAATCAACCTGGAATGGACTCTCTTCATGATATTGTAGAGATTCAATCATGGATGCATTTATTTGACTTTAAGTCTCTCGTTTTTCATGAAGAAGAGGTCCGTGAATTCTATTACAATATTTTATTTCAGGAAGGTGGTAGTATACATACCAGAGTGGAAAAATATTGATGTTCATCTTGATGAACACCTACTGGGAATAATTCTTGGAGCACCTCGAGGAGTTATCAGGTCCGTAGTTGGAAAGGCTTATTCAATGGATTTTGTAAAGATTTGTTCTAAGCTTCCCACTAACCGATATGTTGGACTGTTCAATAAATTAATGAAGAGTGAATACCAGTTGGTATTTGAGTTTGTCAACAAAATCCTCCTTCCAAGAACTAAAAAGAGGACTTCATCAACTTCTGCTGATTTGTTTATCATGGAGTCGTTGTGCAAATTTGAATCTCTAGATCTTCCAGGACTTATGCTCGACCACATGTACAAAACTGTCATTGAGCTGAAAGGAAAGCATGGTCTGGGTTATGCATACTTTTTAACTAAAGTATTCAAATACTTTAACATTCCGCTTGGTGTTAGAAAAGTTGATATTGTGAAGCAATCTTTCTCCGAATCTACTTTGGTTGAATGTGAATGCATAGAAGGGAAGGGAAATTCTAAAATCAAAGTGTCTCAACTTGTTGAAGACCAGGATCAATTTAAGCATAAGGTGGAAGACATGACTATGAGGTTGAGTAGTAAGGATGCAGAAATTGCTATTCTTAAGGGCGAGCTACTCAAGGCGCAGACTAAGGGACCTAGTACCTCTGAAGTTCAAAAACTTAAGCACGAAAGTGCATAACTGAGGGCCACGATTGTTGCTTTACAAGAGAAAGAAATCAAGGACAATGATGATGCTAATGCTCAACTTAATCTTATCATTAAGTCTCTTTCCCATCAGCCTCCCCATTCATAGTCCGTCCTATCATCTCCATTTATGTCTTTTGTGTGGCTTATCTACCAAGTCTTTTGAATCCTAGTTTAATTTTAATGTATTGAATGTTATTTATGGATTGCTATTAATCATATTCCTCTTTTGTTTTGGCCAATGTCTATTATCAAATGCACTCTTTTATGCTTGATTTCCTAAAGGCTATAAACTTACCTGAATGTATTATTGCTAATATTGGTTTACTGTGTCTCCTTTTTATGATGCCAAAAGGAGTAATTTTATGTGTGGGTGATTCAGGGAGAATGGGGAAATATGTGCTTCAGGGGGAACAACATTGGTGTGTTGGTTGGTGTGTTGGTGTGTTTTACGGCTGGTCTCTGGTTTTGTGACTTTTCTTCATTTCAGATATATGGACAAGCAATTCAGGTGGAACAATAAAATTTGTGATACTGTGTGATTTTGTCTTGAAGTCTGCAGTATAGTTTGTCATCATTAAAAAGGAGGAAAATGTTATTTGAAGATTTTGATGATTTGACAAAACACAGGGACCTTATGAAGGTACCTGGTTCTCAACTCAAACTACTTTTTGACTAGAGAAAGTACAAATAGTTTGTGCACAGGTTCCAACAGAGTGAGAAATCTTAACCAATGGCATGGGTTTAAGGATAGTGACCTTTCTATACAAGGAAAACATCTTCATACACTTCACTTAGTTTTTGCAACTTGAAAAAGCATATTCAAGAACTCTTGCAAAGTTTTAGAAAATCAAGAAGAAGAAATATTCCAAACAACTCAAGCTCAAGAGAATATAGTGTGTAGTTGTTTAGAAATACTTTCTTCCAATCTTACATTGTGAACTAATCCTAAAACTATAAAGGAATCAATATGGTTTGATCTGGAAATTCTAAGTTAGTTAGCTAAACTAATTTAGTGGGCAACCTGTGTGTTGCATAGAAAATTCTAAATCATTAGT